TCTCATTAAATATGAGTGTCTCATGAAATATGAGTGTGTCATGAAATATAAGTGTTTCTCATGAAATATGAGTGTGTTATGAACTATAATGGTGTCTCACGAACTTTGAGTGTCTCAGCTGTGAACTTTAAGTGTCACTTGAAATTTTAGTGTCTTGTGATATATGAGTGTTTCGTGAAACTTTAGTGTGTCCTTAAATATAAGTGTCTTATAAGATATGAGTGTCTCCGATGAGTTCTGAGTGTCTCCGTTAAGTTTTAGGTTATGAGCGTTCTGATAAATTTTGAGTGTCTCAGATGAATTATGAGGGATTCTGTTAAAGTATAAGTGTCTCAGAGATGAATTATGAGGGGTTCTGGTGAAGTATCAGTGTCTCAGATGAATTATGAGGGTTTCTGCTGAAGTATGAGTGTCTCAGATGTATTATGAAGGGTTCTGATGAAGTATGAATGTCTCAGATGTATTATGAGGGGTTCTGGTGAAGTAGTGGTTTCTCAGATGAATTATGAGGGGTTTTAGTGAAGTATGAGTGTCTCAGATGTATTATGAGGGGTTCTGGTGAAGTATGAGTGTCTCAGAGGAATTATGAGGGTTGCTGCTGAAGTATGAGTGTCCCAGATGTATTATGAAGGGTTCTGATGAAGTATGAATGTCTCAGATGTATTATGAGGGGTTCTGGTGAAGTAGTGGTGTCTCAGATGAATTGTTGCTGCTGAAGTATGAGTGTCCCAGATGTATTATGAAGGGTTCTGATGAAGTATGAATGTCTCAGATGTATTATGAGGGGTTCTGGTGAAGTAGTGGTGTCTCAGATGAATTATGAGGGGTTCTGGTGAAGTATGAGTGTCTCAGATGAATTGTGAGGGGTTCTGGTGTAGTATTAGTGTCTCAGATGTGGTATGAGTTTACGATTAAGTATGAGTGTCTCCGATAAATTGTAAGTGTATTAGATGACTCTCATGAATTAATTGTTGCTTGATATTTCTTCCTCCCATCTAGTGTTATCAGAATCAATCTGCGCCCTTTTCTTTGCTTAGGTTACACGTCCGTAAATCATTGATTTCATTCATTACATAACATTACATAACATTACATAACTAGATTGATATAAGTAACAATTATAGACATGAATGTGTATACATGTGTACATTTAGCATTCAATTACATGACTATTTATGTAACATATTCATAATTTTGCCTTTATCTGTTTAATATGATTCCAACATGTGTCTCTTTGCATATTATGCAACAACTGCCTGACACTGGCTATCTGTCTATTCAACTATCTAGCTATTTAAGTATCTAGCTATTTAAGTATCTAGCTTTTTAACTATATATCTATTCAACTATCTAGCTATTTAAATATCTAGCTATTTAAGTATCTTTCTATTCACCTATCTAGCTATTTAAATCTCTAGATATTTAAGTATCTAACTATTTAACTATTTAACTGTCTAGCTATTTACTATCTAGCTATCTAACTATCTAGCAATTTCACTATCTTGCTTTTTAACTATTTAGCTATTTAGATTAATCTACTGATGATTGCCGCAATATTGATCCTTTAAATATATATATAGATATATAGCTATTGAACAATCTAGATATTCTTAACAATCTAGCTAATCAACTATCTATCTATTGAACTGTCTATAGTTTGCACTGCCTATCTCATTAACTATCTATCTATTTAACTATCTAGTTATTCAACAATCTATCTATTTTACTATCTATCTATTGCACTGTTTATCTATTTAACTATCTATCTATTTAGCTATCTATCTATTTAACTATCTATCTATTGAACTATCTATCGTTTGCACTTTTATCTATTTAACTACCTAGCTACTCAACTATCTATCTATTTAACTATACAGCTATAGCACTGTCTATCTATTTAACTATCTATCTATTTAGCTATCAATCTATTTAACTATTTATCTATTTAACTATCTAACTATTTAACTGTCTAGCTATTTAACTATATAGCTATTAAACTATCTAGCTATTGAACTATCTATCTATTTAAGTATTTAGCTATTTGGCTATATAGCTATTTAAATATCTAATTATTCAACTATCTGGTTTTTCAACTATCTATCTTGTTAACTTCATATATTTTAAACTATCTAGCTTTCTACCTGATGTTAGGTACTTTCCCAAAGCTTAAACTTCCCAAGCTTAAACTTCCCAAGGGTATTTTCCCAAGTGGCAACTTTTAAATGTGTAATTTCCCTAAGCGGCAACTTCCCAAGTTTGTCCTAGTCAGAGAGCACTTCCCCCTAGCTTTTACTAGCCGCAGCGCTCAGTCCCTAACCTAATCCTTGGGAAGTTGCCGCTTGGGAAAATGTACATTTGGGAAGTTGCCACTTGGGTAATTGTCACTTGGGAAGTCACCCTTGGGAAAATGCCTCCTTTTTATTTAACTATTAAAGTATTTAATTAACAGCCTATCTGTTTCACAAACTAGCTAAAGGCATCTAACAATTTATCTATCTAGCTGTTTGACTATTTATCTATGCAACTTTTTTCATATGTAATTTCTATCTATTTAACTATCTAATTTTAGAATTGTTATTCTTTAAATCTCTGTATCTGTGTATCAATAACAGAGAACTTTTACAAGCTAAAGATATATAAATTAGAGGCCATTTTCTCAGTCTTCTAAATCTTTAATGTGGAAGTAGCTAGTGGCTATTAAGCAAAGAGAATAGAATATATATTAGAGTGGAATTTACTAGAAAAAAGTGTAAAACGGCCATTTTGTTGTACTGTTTCCATACTGCAGGTGTACTTCACATATTTATGCTATGCAACCTTTTGGGCCCTGGAACATCATTTTATAGAAAATCTTAAATTAATATTAAAAGAAAAACAAATTATGAAATAGGCTGGTTTCATAATTGGCCAATGATCATTTCACATAGACTCTATGCCTTTTACTTTACAAACGATGATTTTCCGTTATAACTATAAATCAAATGATGTTTTTTATTCAACTAATTCATTATAAAGTTTATTTAACAGCTTTAAAAATTTCGAAATTAAAATGGATAGTCTAGGGAACATACTGTATTATTGTACTCTACTGCATATAATTGGTGAACATTTACATGATTTGTACACTTTGAACTCCCTTTCAGGCTGAAAGGGACTGAAAAAATTCATACCCAGAGATTCTTTAAATTCCCCTCTAATATATATTCTATTCTCTTTGCTTTTAAGTAAGAGTTGCAAAGTCGTATTGACATCTTCTTATTAAGTGTGCTTTGCAGCCGAACCATTTTTAGAAGTTTCTAATAACATATTAGTTAATAAATACTATTTTGAAAAGGTCTGGATGCACGCTGAATTTATGGGTTCAAGATGGGTGGAAAATCTTCATAATCTAGAGATTAACATTTTCCATATTAATTTGAACCCTGAAAATAGAATGTGCTTTGTGGCCAAACCGGTTTTAGAAAATAATAGAACATCATATTGGGAACATACATATTACACATCATGAAACAAACGTTTTTATTTTAAGAAAATGTTATTAAATATGATTGATATGGTATGCATTATTATTTTTGTTAAATTATTTTGAACTATACTATCTTGCTATCTTAGAATATATTTTTTATCTTAAATTCTTAAATTTTACTCACATTTTTTTTAGGTAACATTGTAAACTGTAACAAAAGTTGACAAAAATACAGTACAGTTGCTGCTTTGCGACAATCTTTATTTATGCAAAGATGTAGTTCAAAGTTCGTAAATATTTAGATATACTTGCAAATAAATCTGATGTATTCTGTATTCAGCTTGCAGTATTTGAGAAAATTATGCTCAAAATAAGTAAAGCTAAAAACAGAGATTTTAAATAAAAAATAAAACACAAAGGAGAAAAGAAAAAGATAAAAGAAAACATCAGTTTCTAAGAGAGAAAGAGACAAAAATAATAGTTTTAATAAGAAAGCCATAATGTACCTTTTTCAAACATATTTTGATGCTTTTAGATAGAAATGTAAACTTGTGAAGTAAATGTTAAGTTTACGGGGATTAAGTTCACAAATAAAATATATCTTCTACAAATAATACAAAATTTAGCAGGTTCAGAATCCCATGACCCTTATTAAAAGACTGACATGTCTGTAAAAAGATGGCTGTTTTAAATTATGAGTTCTCTACAAAAATAACTTTAGAATACTTGTTTCGCAAACAATGAAGAAAATTGGAAGAAAAATATCCTGTTTCAAGCTAGAAACCCCTTTTCAATCTATAAACCCTTTTCAAGCTAGAAACCCTTTTCAAGCTATTACCCCTATTCAAGCTAGAAAAAACCCTTTTCAATCTATAAACCCTTTTAAAGCTAGAACCATTTTCAAGCTAGAAAACCCTTTTCAAGCGACAGAAACACCATTTCTAGTTAGAAACCCATTTTTAAGCTATATAGAAACTCATTTTCTAGCTACAACCCCATTTTTTAGTTAGAAACCCCCTTTCATGCTAGAAACCTATTTTCAAGCTAGAAACCCCCTTTCTAAACTATAAACCCATTTTCAAGCTAGAATCCCCCTTTCAAGCTAGACACCCATTTTCAAGCTAGAAACCCATTTCAAGCTAAAGAAACCCATTTTCAAGCAGAAAACCTTTTTCAAACTAGAAACCCATTTTCAAGCTAGAAAATACTTTTCTAGCTATAACCCCATTTTCAATCTATAAACTCTTTTCAAGCTAGAACCCATTTTCAAGATTGAAACTCCTTTTCTAGCTATAACCCCATTTTCAAGCTATGGAAACGCCCTTTCTAGCTAGAAACCCCATTTTAAAGCTAGAAACTCATTTTATCTATTTTCAAGCTAGAAACCCTTCTCTAAACTATAAACCCATTTTCAAGTAGAAAACCTGTTTTCAAGTTAGAATTCCGAGGATAACTTTCACCTATTGATTAGATAATTGTTGAAAGGTACAGTTGTGAATCTGGTATGCACCTTCTTTAAATAAAATTACTGTTCCCTTTCAAATTTTCCATTTTTTAATTATGGTATTTTTCAGAAATAATGAGAAGATGAAAAGGAAGAATGTCGCAAGATGCTAAACTCAAAAAATATCAAGGAAAAATATTAGAAAAATAGTATTTCTATAACACTGAATCCAAATCTGGATTAAGCTGGCAAATTCTGGATCCAAATATTTGCCAAAAACCACAAAAAAAATAATTCTTATAAGCAATGGAATTTCCTTGCAATTCAGTAAAGGTTTGAACGTTGTCTTTGACCATAGTTTGGGGCAGCTTAATTTTAGAAATATTTATTGTGAAAAACTATCACAAAAGCCCCAAGTACTGCCATTTTCAAAATATGGTCTGTCTTTTGTTTTGCTTTTAGAAAAAAGATAAACTTTAGGAAATTTTTGAAAGAAATTGCACGTCTTTAGTATACATAAAACGAATCTGTATTTTCTATGAAGAAAAAGAAATTCAATATTTAATATTTTCTGTAAGATTGTCCTTTTCCTTCTCCTCAGTGTTAGCGTCGTCTTCATATACTTTACACAATCATACAATAGTGTAACAAGGTAAATAAATATTATAAAGTTTAGGATACATTTCATTTTGATGCGGATCCGGATTCTTGATCTGGAAAAAAATGTATCCGGATCCTGGATCCACAATGAAAAACAAGGAATCCGCCTTAAAATTAGTAAACCATTCAGAAATTTGGAAATTTTTGTTAACATATTTTAAGTTAAGAATTTTGATTTGAGATCAACATTTTTAGTTTTTGGTTGATATTTTGTCCCTTGGATCTGAATCCGTTGATCAGAATAATTTTGCAAATCCGAATCCAATCTAGTCATCCGTGTTGAAGTTTATTGTATAAAATCAAAGAGACAATCAACAAAGCATTTGCCACAAACTCTAATTTTCTAATCTATATATCTTTGCAACCCAATGTTGACTCAGCTCCTAAACTATCCGCTACAGAGTTGTAAAAGAATTTTCTAAAAATATGATACATTTTTTCAAGGACTAGTTTCTTTACATTCCGTTCAAAAATCTAGTTTTATTTAAATACATTTTTTTATTTTGTTCTACAAATTATCTTTTTATCTATATATTCATTTTCATTCATTTTCATTTATTCCCAAATCTTATTAATGTAATCAAATTATGTAGTTGAACGTACTGTATACACAATCTTATCTAATCAAATATACAAAAGGGGGAGGGGGAGGGCCTGGCTCGGGGAATTAAACAAATTAACTCAAGGTAAAATGTGACTTTACCTTATAGCGAATTTACATGTTTTGCAATTCTAAACAACAATGTTTACTAAAAAAATCAGAAAATTAACATTTACTAAAAGCTTTAATGAAACGTTTGAGAACGGACGACATTTTTCGTAAAAAAGGGGTTCGTTAAGAAAAAAAAAACAGGAACAATATTGTTTGTTCAGAGAAATGAAAAAATGATCGCTCTTTAAAAACAAACAGAAAAAACGAACGATTTAAAATCGAGTAGAAAAGTTTTTTTTCATGTATCATTTTGTAGTATTGTGTTTAAGAGAGAAGACGAGGCCTCCTTTATCTCAAGGTAAAATGTTTACAAATTAAATCTTCAAGGGACTAATCTAAAGTGACCATCCATGCAAAGATGGCAGTTCCGATTCAAAGCGTTGTCTGATCAAGTATGAATCAGATATCAATGTTTAAAATTTAGAAAACTGGGAACCATTTTGAATCAGCCATTGGTGGGTCCCTTAAAAATTATGATATTTTTTAAATAAAAGGAGAATAAAGACACAATATTAAAGAACTAATCTGGTTTTCACTATAAGATCTTTAAAGCATAGAAAACTTATATTTTAGAAATGTTCTAACGGAAGAAAAAGAAAATACCTGGAGAGAAAATCCAAGACCACAAAAACAACTAAATATCACCACTGTGTAAGATTTTGCTCATAAGTTATTATCTTTATTTTTTATTTAATGCTTATGAGCCCGCGATTTAGATAATTCGGGAAAATACGGCTCGAGTCCAAGCTGTCGTTGGGCCTTATTTACGGCTTGACCTTTCGGATTCAAACTGCATCTTATTTTCCACAAAAACCAACCTAGGTCGATTTTATTTTTATTGGGCCTAACTCCTTAAGTCGAGGCAAAAATCTTGCAGCAGTCAATCACGTGCCACAAGCTGTCGTCAGAGTTGGGTCAAAGATGTGGTTTTAAAGTCGGGTTTAAGAAATTACGGCTGGAGCAGAAGTTTTAAATCGTGGGCTCGGTTTTGAGTGCTACCATTTTGTTTTCGCATAAAATCCTCATCGTGAAAAAATCATAATTTAATGTTTATTTGAAGAAGGGTTGAAGATAATGCTCAACTTAGCAATGAGATTGGAGTGCAATATATCTTGGAGAAAAAGTTAGGTGAGCGTGAGACACTGATTATATTCTAAGGGTGAGTTTTGTCTGCATGTTGGTACTAAAAGTGATTTCCAGCCTTTAAAAAAAGAATTCGCCCAAATGAACAATGTTTTCAAAAGAACACCCCTGCACTGCAGTTAAATGAAGCATTATGCGGCAATAAGAGCAAATTTGTCTTTTTTCTTACTGTATAGCTATAACAACTAAAATGTGCATTTTTGGAATCTAATAAATGGTTTCGTAAAATCAAAGAAAATTCTTTTTATAAAAAGTAGGGCTGGGCACGTTAAAACTTTTTAAGCCGTTTCGTTAATTGGTAGCTCCAGCCCTAAATTTTTTTTTTTAGGTAAGTAAGAATAGAATGTTTATTTTGTTAATGTTATTTTTTTTTTTTAAGTTAGTGTCTGCAGTTAACAATTTTAGTCTTATCAACATAACGAAACATATTCCACTGTTAATGGTTGTTTCTTGCAATTAATGTCATTTATCTTTTAGAAATTGCGAAAAGCAGCAAAACAAAAAACGGCTAATCCATTTTGTTATAACAATTTAAAAATCAACAATTTTTTCCCTTCGTTCGTTTGGACTCTTTAGAAAAGTTTCGAAAAGTTTAGTTAAAAGAACTTTGCCCAGCCCTAATGGAAAGAACTGTTAAACTTTACATGTTAAAAACAAATTGAAACTTGATGGACCTTTTCTTTTCTAACTAACCTTTTACAAAGATTAACTCTGGAGTAAAATTAAGTAGCAGCAACTTTGCATAAACTACTAACGATGTATAGCGTATAATGCAAATTCATCAGCTCTTATCACATCATCTACAACAGTGTTTAATGTAAACGTACCTTTGTGTTCAGTGCAGGGACCAAATTAAAAAAATTGCAGAGAGGTTGCTATCCCAGTTCAAATCCTGAGTCATTAATTAACTGATCTCCAATTCTTTACCTAAATCCTTATGAATCTTAATCTTTTTTTAAACATTTTTTTAATTTTCTTTTATAAATTATTGGGTACAGATCATAAAAACAAATTTTATATTAAGTATTATTGTCATAATTTTCCTCCTTCATTCTCTATTTTACTTCTTTTGTTGACTGCCCGTTTGGGCAATTTGGGATACAAATATTTAAAATCATTTTAAAAATCATTAGACTTTGAATCTTAAGCATTAAATTGGTGATTCAGGATTTGAACCTGCGGTAGATAATTTAACGACTACTTGCAATTCATTAAATCCTGTCGTTGTGTGATTAATGCATGCCTAGCCCTGGCACTGGCAGATTCTGGTGAGATAGATCTGGATATTGGTGAACCTGATCTAGGTGAGACAGATGAACCTATGGATACAGATATTCCTGTACTTTCCCACCCAGGTCACGCTAATCTAAGCTAGTGGGGTAGATCAGATAGGCCTTTGATAGGCCTGGTACTGTAAAAAGTCTGGCCGCACCATTGAAGTTGAAATCGAGCTGGCATAGATTAGGGTCAGGCGATGGAGGGAACCCCCGGACGACATGAGCATCCGCTATGCAGACACGCAGTAATGAGCATACGCAGTACATCAAAATGTGCCTGTGTAATACAGGAGGTTTTTTAAAACTTGTGTTTTAAGTTTTAATAAAACATTTTGACAAATTTTTGGACATAGTGACATGAGAGGTTTCCAAAGAATAGTATCTATCTATTTTCATTAATAGTGCCTATAAATTATGACTTATAAAATTGCATATAAAACTTTAATCATTTCTTACGCAGAAAGAAAGATATTTGGAGAAATATTTCTGGAGTAAATTTAGTTTGTTTTGTTGTAATCTTTGATTTAAACAATACCTTTTTAAAAATAGATTTAGATAAATGATACAAATTTACTAGATTTAATTTGAACTTCAAAAAAGGTATCGCTTAAATAAAAAATTATAAAAGATTAAATGAAATTCAATTCAAATTTTTTTCTCTAAATATTTCCTACATATATACAAAGACATATTTGTAAATAGTAAATAAGGCTGTATCGTCCACGCTAATAGATAAAAACCATAGCGCAGGGCTGTAGCTGATAGGGGGTAATCGGACGGTTGCCCCCCCCCCTCCTGGAATTGAATATTTATTTTTTGCATAGTACACTACTAAGTCTATCCACAACGAAGCATAAAAGTTTGATTAGAATATATCTATTTGTTTAGTAACAAGAAGATTGCTCAACAAAGATGACTTCAATCAGCTGATGAAAGGGCGACAAGTTCATTTACAGAAGTCTTGTCAAAACATATTCAAACAACAAAGACAGGAATCTATTATGTAATAAATCTTTGATGTCATTTGCTTATGTTCCCAAGCGGCAATTTCCCAAACCCTGAGAGTATTTTCCCAATTGGAAACTTCCCAACTGTGCAATTTCCCAAGTGTCGACTTCTCAAGTCTGTCCAATATCACTACTTTGCATTTTTCTTAATGCTGTGTCGATCCCATTTTTTACTATCATATCTCAAACTAAAATATCATATAATAGATAAAAAAGTCTAGAGAGAAAATTGTTATCCAAAGTTTTGTTTTAACATTGTAAGTTTTAACTGTAGTTTTACTGAGACTATCTGGATAAGATCTTGTAATTGTAAGATACTATTATCTTCCGTGGTGCTTCATGTCCATCTTCGATTTTAACTTTCAATTATTGCTCTATCTGACACAATTGATCTTCTTTAATTTTCATATTATTATTGTTATATTAATAACATTTTTCGTGGATATTGACAAATAAGAATTTTTTTTTTTGACAAATTTGGACTCAATTGTTTCAGCCGTATTTACATTATTGGATACAAATNAAATAAAAAATTGTATAAAAGAAACATTAAAAAAAACATAAATATGCCCCTGAAATAAACACAACAAATCTAGGGTCCGGTTTGCTATATCAGCTGGTAGGCCCATGGAAAAAATTACCAAAATAAAATTTGTACTGTGGCCGAGTTCAGTGTAGATAGATAGATAGAATCATATCTATAAGCGGGGCCGTGATTTTTGTACGGAAGTTTTCAGAGGGGGGGGGCAACAGTTCATCACCCCTTAGCAAAATTGTACCTTCCCTTACCTCTTTCGGAAGTAACTAAAAAAAACTTTAATAGTTCGTTTGCACATTTAATTTGTGTGTGCAAAAATCTTAAACAAATTACACATAAATTGATATGGTTACTGGTCAGAATGCAAATGTGTAAAAATTCAATAAATAATTTTCATTTCGCAAATTGATGTGTATAGTGCAAATATGGTTAAGGATATTAAAACTATATTCCAATTTAACCCTGCTACCCAGCTAGAGTTAAAATTCAACCAACAAATTTACTTTAAGCCTAATTTCAAGTAACCTTAATGCAAAGATGGCATGATGCCCGATTTACAATCGTACCATTAAAAAATTTGATCAAGGTTGTCATTAAAGATATCGACTTTTAATTTTTAAAACCGATTATTTTTAAATTCATATACCGGAATTATATGAATTAAACCTAGAAAAACGAAAATATCTTTAACATTATTCATCAAATAAATGTTTGAAAGGTACCGTTGTAAATCGAGTATTGTCATAGTTGTATGGAGGGTCACATAAACTTACGCTTTCAATTCTGTTTAATTTAATTCCTAGAATATGTATTTTTATTTGCTTCCCCCCAGGAGATCAAGTTTGCTTGGTGTCCTGTATATAAGGCAGCAAGTACTAATTGGATGCACAATCTCCTACATCTAGCAAATTTGACCCCTGAGCAGGTAAATTATTTCGTTTTTTCTAACAAAGTATTTAAATATTTTGTTGTGAACAAAGTGTCAATTTATGTTTTTTCCTTTAAATAAAATATTTTATAATAATAAACAACTAAAAGTATTTTCTACCATTTTTGAATTTTGAAAAAAATGTTAAAGAATTTCTTACAAATTATTACATAATTCTGTTTGTTATTCTGAACAAAATGTTTGTAATGTTTGGTAATCATTGTTTCTGAAAGTTGGGACATGGCAAGGATGTAAGGCAAGGAAAGTCATTTCAGAAGTGTACACATCTTTAGTACTGCAGTGTACTGTCTCTGGGCGCTAATGTAAACACAAGACGGATGTCGAAGCCTGACATGGGATCCATCATTCACATAAAAATCAATGAAATATTCTGGTCATAGGAAATTATTATGTGAATTATCAAAATTATCAAAATTTAATGCTTTTAACCTCCTCGGATACTAAACGAACACTAATGCGTCTATTATTGTTTACAAATTCCGCCCAGAGAGAACTGGTTTCAATATGTACACAGAGTATACACGACCGCAATTGACTTTCCTTGCCTTACATTCTTGGGACATGGAATCTTAATTTTGACTGAAATTAGTTATTCTTCTTATCCTGCATTTTGAGTAACATTATTAACCTTGTCTATCCCTACTATTTAACTTTTTAATAGTAAATATATTGTTGCTCGCCCAGGGATGGAAAGTGATGAATTGCGAATTTTTTTGAGAAAAATTCGCACATTTACAAGATAAATGTAGCTGATACATGGACACGGTTTTAACAAAAATATAAAACTTTTTAAGTATTTTGACATTGTAATGTTATCAACAGCACAATTAAATATAATAATTAATATTAAAAAAGTTTAATCTGTTAATAATGTTGCTTAAAGAATAGGAAAAAAAAACATATTTACTCATACCGAGACTTTCCTTCGGGAGAACTGCACTTTGATGAAATTTCATCAAAAAAGTCTCTTAAAGATGGCAGTTCTCCCAGTAATTCCTCGCTAATAGTAAATAAATAATTATTTTTTCATTTACAAAATTTATTATAAAGGTTTTGTTATTAGCAAGAAATCTTTGTGGAACTTCATTTTGTTTTGGTTCCCAGCAAGAAATTTTAATGATAATGTCTCAAATTCTTTAAATATAAGACCTTAATCTTATTTTAAAAAAAAATTATTATTGACGTTTTAAGGGAAGGGGAGATTTTTTTAGATTTTGGTTTTTGGTAAAAAACCTTTTGAAATGTTATGTAGCACTATTTCTCAGATCAGCAAAGTGATGGATGAGCACCCCCGCCAACCCAACGATCAAGGAAGAGTTGTAGCTCCTCCTATTACTGGCAATAAGTTAAAGGTAATTTATTTTACTAGGTTTTGAGGCAGCTTTAAGGACAATTTTAACCAAGTGTTTCTCTTAAAATGGCCATTTTTAATCATGCACAAACTGGCACCTTTAGGAAAGATTATTGCTGAGATTACAGACCTTACCATGAGGTCGTATAGGAGGTTGCCTTAAACAAAATTGGGCCCAATTGGTTCAGTGGTTTTGACGCCAAATAGACCGACAAGCAAAGTAAAGTTAACGCCCATCTTCAATTTCAACTTTTATTTGTTGCTCAATCTTTCAGTATTTTCTCTTTGCTGAAAAAATAATAAAAATTGTTAGGGATCTTCAATTTTTTAATAGTTATAAACAACTTTTTGTAATTCTGAGCATCTAAACGTTCCCAGGGGTCATTTGAGATCTCATTAAAAATTTAGCCTGAATGGTCCAGCCGTTTCGACGTTTTTTTAACAGACAGACACCCAGACAAGCAAAGTATATATATTCTAAGCTTTTAGGGCACTTCTAGCTTATCTTTTATTTCAATTGTGAACGTCTTCTGCATATATATACATTGTTAAACAAAAACAAACAAACATTTCGCGGATTAAGAACAAATTTTGTAATTTTTCAAAATTTTCAAAATCAACTTTTGTTAAAAATTTGTTAGATATATTTTTGTTGAAAAAAAGAGAAAAAGCTTTAGATAAAGCAACGTATTAATTTAAATCATTAAATCTACAGCCTTTTTTATGTGTTTTAATGTTTTCTTACCTTACCTTTTTACCTTATATTCTTGTTCCCAGCAAGAAATTTTAATGATAATCTCTGAAATTCTTTAAATAAGATCTTAATCTTATTAAAAAAATATTATTATTGACGTTTTTAGGGAAGGGAAGATTTATTTAGATTTTGGTAAAAAACCTTTTGAAATGTTATGTAGCACTATTTCTCAGATCAGCAAAGTGATGGATGAGCACCCCCGCCAACCCAACGATCAAGGAAGAGTTGTAGCTCCTCCTATTACTGGCAATAAGTTAAAGGTAATTTATTTTACTAGGTTTTGAGGAAGCTTTAAGGACAATTTTAACCAAGTGTTACTTCATACTTTATTTTTTTTAACTTTATATACATCTTATATTTTTGCATTATCACATACCTTGTATTTTACATTACTAAGTACCTTACATTTTAAAATTTTCACAATTCTTAGGAATGTGTTTGCCCCAAACTCAAATCAAATAATTTAATTTTTAAATAGCTAAGGTTTACACCATCAGGATGCAAAGATATAGGGATTGAAAAAATCGAATTTACCGCAAAAACTCAATTCCTTTACTAATTATAAGCGCATTAATTTTTGTTTTGTTATCTCTTGATCTCTTTTGATAGAAAAATAATATTTTCATTCTTTGCAAAATAAAATTTTCACTTTTGAAATAAAAACCTCTTTTAGGACTTGGAAACTTTGCAGCACTCAAAAAGGCTTCTCATAGTTCGACATCCTTTCGATCGGTAAATATGTGATTTTTGCGTTCGTTAATAAAGTTCAACAACTTCATAGCTGTGAATCATGTTTTACATGGTTTTATTGATTTATGCATTAGTATTAAGTATTAAGTAAAACCATTCTTTCAAATGGCATATTAAAAAGATTTAGCTGAGCTATATAAAAATTTAAAATTTTTAAAAAGAAAGGCTAACTTTTTTTACATTTAGACTTGTGTCTGCATTTCGAGATAAACTGGAACGATGCCATGGTCTTGATCCATGCATTTTAAAAACCAATTGGTGAGTGCAGGAAGGTCAATCATTTTGACATCCAAGCCTCCTATAAAAATATTCATCTGCTCATAATTTTTCATCAAAAGTACTGATTTTTAGTTTTCACATTTAAAAAAAAATCCGACTAACACTATTTGAAGTGACGTCTTTATCAAATTACCGAAAATGGCTTATGTATCTATATAAAAGTAATTACGCAGTAATCTCACCAGTTTTTCTGAAGTCTACAATATGATCAACTATAACCTTTTGAGATATACTGATCGTTGGGAAATTTTCAAATTCCATAGAAATGTGGTAATTTAAATTGGATATAAGTTAAAATATTATAAATTTTTTTATTTCGTTTAGTGGTAACTATTTAAAATATATACAACTGGGCTTTTAGGGCGCTTCGTCCCATTTTCTATTTCAATTCTGAACATTTTATCTTTGTATAAATTGTAAAACAAAAACAAAAAAAGTTTGCTGATTTTATAGAAAAAATGTTGTGGATTTTAAAATTTGTAAGAGACCAATTTTTGAAATTTTGATTATCTAAAAAAATTTTTGGCCCGACAACCGTTTTTGACGTAATTATTGGACAAGCAAATTAATAAAGATTAATACCAGAACATTTTCGGTTTATTCGGCCTTAAAAGGGAAAGTAATCGTAATTTAGGGTTCTTTTTATTTAAAGAGGGACATCAACGATTCATAACCTTATCCTTTAAATGTATATATCTCTTAAATGCTGTGTGAAAAGATGTAAAATTGAAGTGTACGCTAGTGTACTGTGTGAACTCACATTTATTTCTGGAAAAACAAGAATATTTCATGTCTAGTGCGGTTATATTCTACCACTCCTATTACATATTAATATTTCTTGAATGTATAAACAGCTTGCAAACAAAGCGTTAAACATTTAAAAACTTTCTGTTGATAAATAATAATAAAAATAAATAATAAAAATTAAGATTGAATGATTACTATACAGAGCGTACCATATCATATTAGACTGTCTCCAATCTTTAACGCCAAAATGCACATATAATAATCGAAAAATCTAGCATTTTCTGCAAGAAAAAATTTCTATTAGCCTTATTAAATTTTTCAAAATGATTCATACTTCTTAACTTTTCTGATTTGTCCCCTAAATCGTAATTTAGACCCATTGACGTGGTCTAATTTGATGTGGGACACCCTGTTTATTATAAATATTTAGGTACTATAAAACATACGGAAGAGGAATGGTGTCAAGTTATAGAAGAGCTGCAATTCAACGATTCTCGGAAGAATTTTTTTTACCAGAGTAAGTTTTAATTATATAAACGTCATTTGTACAAAAAGTATTTTGGTATTTTAGTCTTTTAGTATTTTAGCTCAAAATCATAAAATTCAGTCTTTGCTCTTTTCTATTTTATCTTTGTTAGGAACAATTTTGGAAGTCCTCTACCTGTGGATAAAACATGGCGGAGTGCTGACCTACCCAGCTGGTGGGAATTCATTCAGTATATACTAGGTTAGCCATTTATTCAAGTTTATGTCCTAGAACTTCCAAAGCGCGTCACCCCCCCTCTTTTTTCTCAGGCCAAAAAGTAATAAATGTAATAAATAAGTTTTCTTAAGTTAGTATCAGTCCGGATACAAGCTCCGTATCCGTCAGTATCTATCAATCGAGATATATACAACCTAGAACTCCATGGTCTTCCGTAATAACTCAGTCTGTATCACCTGGGTTCAAACTGTTATCGAAATCTCTTGTTCTCTTAATGTAGTCAGTCTGTATCAATTCTGCAGAATTTATCACCTAGGTACAAACTGTTCTCAAACTCTCTTTTTCCCTCAATGTATTCAGTTGGTATCGATCCAGACACAATTCTATTGTATTCTGCAGAATGTATCGCGAAGGTACAAACTGTTCTCGAACTCTCTTTTCCCTCAATGTAACCTTAGTATGTATCAATCCAGATACAATACTTTCTGTAATTTCCTAGTCTTTATCTATTTATCCAGATACAACTCGGGTCAGTTTTGTTTGGTACAAGAGAATGGATTACTCTGATACCGTAATCAAGCAGAGTATTATTCCAACTAACATATATTTTGAGTTTTATTGTACAGGCTAAATTAATGAACGTAATTAAGAAGAATCCAAAATCTACGAACGTAATAAAATTATAAAGACCCATAGGTTTAACGAGCGTAGTTAGGTTACAGATAATGTACAACGTAATATATACAGGTATGTTCATTGTTCAGGTTTACAAATATAGGGTTTACTACAATATTCATTACATATATATATATAATAATTATAGATTAATTATTACATTATTAAGCATTTTAATTGTTTGTAAAAAAAATGAGCTAAATGTGTTAATAGACTATTCCTGAGCATCATTAACAAGCATTATTATATTATTAAGCAGACAAACTGCATTATATTGATACAAAAAAAAAAATCTACAGAAAGCTAGTTTTTCAATTGTTCTTTGGTTTAAAACTTATATCTGTTTAGAAACTAGTCCTGAGCATTATGATGAGCACTGGAGACCAATGTCGATGTACTGTGCTGCTTGCTCCTTTTCATACAACTATATTCTACACTTTGAAAATATTGATCAGGTAAAAAGTTCAGAAAATGTTTGAAATAAATCTGCCAACTTTTTGGTGGAAATTTATTGTTTGGGAATATTTTTATCAGAAAAATTGGAAACACAATTTCTGGCTTGAAGTATTTTAAATGTTTTTTTGATCGGCTTTCAATTAAAGCCTCAATTCTGCGTTAATGAAAAGCGTTCAGCATAATGCAGTTAGAACTTAGTCTTTGCAATAATCTCAAATTTATTAATCCTTATAACTTTGCAACTTGATGATGTCAACCTTTAATATTCAAAACTTGAGTTAACAAAATTCATAAAGATTGAAACAAAGACTCTATTTATTTGCAGATATAATAGAACAACCATAGAACTACAGAACAACTTTTCATATCAAGCTAACGCTATCTCTTTAGTTTCTTCAATATTCAACAGTTTTACCCACAATTTTTATATAAAAAAATACATAGGCTAACAATTTAAAAACAAGAATTAAAACAAATTTTACATATTTTTGCATATTTTTACATATTTTTACAAATTTTTTACATATTCTTACATATTTTTTAACATTAGGAGGAGATATTTTTTGCTGAAGAGTTAGGTGCTAAAGATAAAATACAACACAGATGGGAAAATAGAAATGATGAAGGTAAAAAAATATTTGAAACTTCTGTAGAGATTTTTTTAAACTGAGCTTTATATCATAAACATCTACAGTCATGTTTAACCCTATAAAAAGGCTGTATCCTGTGCCAGCCCCCCCCCCTTCGAAAAGTCTTACCGTCAAAGTATAGAGGTACGGATAGATTATGTAAAAAACTATTTTTCTTTACTAGCTTTTTTAAAAGCTCTTTATACTTTTAAAAGCCTAAACGCATAACATCAAAACTCAAGAATTTTAAAGGTGGTGGGTAATAAAGATGTTGTAGGCTGTAAACCACATCTGTATCAGCATGTTTTTAGTTATATTTGGATCTGTACTTCAAACCCCGTAAAAATAGCGCGTAAAAGACATTTTGTTCTTAAACATTTAAAATACATAGACTGCAACAAAAAAGTTTGAAATACAAAAAATATTTTGAAACTTTGAATTCCTCCCATGCACATCACTTAATACTTTATATTATCTATATGATGAATGAAAATATCCATGTCAAAACTAACTTTTATTTTCCCCTCATTTAATAAACATTTGAATGAATTCCTAAGCAGCAAATAAGATTTTTTATATTTCAGGATTTAAAAAAGAAGAGTTGGTGGGAAAATATTTCAGTTTGCTGAATGACAGTGAAATTGAGAAACTTTACCAAATATATAAAGATGATTTTCAACTGTTTGGATATCAGTTTCAGTTTAGAGATATCAAACTTAATATGCCTTGATTGTGGTGATTTTACAACAATTCATAGAAATTTCAAAAGCCTAACTTTTTTCAGGATCCATCCAATTTTTATTCATTCCAGAGTTGGGGATTATTAAATGCGGATAAGGTTCAGCCTGTGTTAACCACTGGTTCGAGCTCAGCTACGCTGAGTTAACCACTGTTTCGAGCTCAACTGCGCGGTGTTAACCACTGGTTCGAGCTCAGCTACGCTGTGTTAACCACTGGTTCAAGCTCAGCTACGCTGTGTTAACCACTGGTTCGAGCTCAGCTACGCTGAGTTAACCACTGTTTCGAGCTCAACTGCGCGGTGTTAACCACTGGTTCGAGCTCAGCTACGCTGTGTTAACCACTGGTTCGAGCTCAACTGTGCTGTGTTAAACACTGGTTCGAGCTCAACTGCGCTGTGTTAACCACTGATTCGAGCTCAATTGCGCTATGAAACAAAATTTTGCGAATTTTTATTCAAAGCTTGCTTAAAGAATTTGTTTTGTTTCAACAAATGAGATTGCTAAGATACTTTACAGAAGATGCACGAGGAAGTAACGTCATAAATTCAACTAAATCTTTTTTATTACACCCTCTTCCAAATTCAAAATCGTCCACTACTGAATTCAATTTAAAAAAAATGAATGTTAAAATTCACTTAAATTCTCTAATTCCCAGGATTACAAAATTGTGATGTTTTTTCCTTATCTAATTTAAAACTTTATTATGATTTTTTATTCAACAGAAAAACTACATAACTAAATTTATCTATTTCTTTCTATCTTATACATATAATTTGTTTAAGAAAAAAAAATTGCAAAAATTTATAAAGCTATGTTGTTTTTACCTAAAGTTTAAGCAAAGCTTTCGTAAAAATAACATAATAGTAGGTTATGTGAACGTAATGATTATTTGTTAGATAAAACATATATATATTTTTAGCCAAACAGATATTATAAATTTAAACTTTCACTTAGATTTTTACCAAAATGTATACACATATTTAAGAATATGAAAATTTAAGCTTTATTGTTGAAACAATTTTTTTAAATTATTTAATGAGAATATGGTTCTAAGTCAAAGTCTTCTATATATAAAAATATATTTTCTTTAAATAAGTCTAGAACAATTTCTAAAGTTTATTCTATATATATATAATTTTAGTGCCTTTTTTGTTACCTTCTGTGATTTAGGTGACAATTTCTTATGTAAAAAAGAGCCCACATGGTTCCCATTAATATGAAAAATTGTTAAATTGTTGTAATATTTAGATTTATAAGGCTTTCATATATTCTTAAACCTTAACATTTTTAATGTGTTTACAATATGTTTAATGTGTTTACTTTACAATTATTTGTCAAAAGTTTCTTGTTTTTAGTTATTTAATTGAAAAACGTTTTCGATTTTTAGATGCAAAGCTAATTTCTTTTTGTCTGTTTTTTTGCTTGTTTGTTTGGATGTCCGAGCATAACCGATGAATCCCAGTACCGATTTGCCTCAAATTTTGATTTGGGAGCTTGGTAGAACCACGGAAATGTTCTTAGCTGATTTAAAAATTCTAAGTTGAATGGGTTGATTTAATTAGGGAAAAATCCAGGCAAAGCTGGTTTCCAAGCTAGTCATGTATATTTTTATTCATCCTAAAATATTTTGAAACAAATTATATGCAATTTTTTTCCTGGGCATTATTTAGAGAGCTTGATATGTACATATTTTATTTATAAAAAATATATTATTGTTAAGTTAAAGCTGATTGTGATTTTTATTTTGCATTTAGTGCCATTATAAAGTTAAAAATTGTTATTATTTATAGATATAAATTCAAAATTTATATGATTACTTTATCGTCTTTGTGAACAGACAAAATTTTTGAGAATGAAAGGAATTTTTTGTGAACGATGATGTCGTCCAGAAAAAAAAGGGTTGGAATAAAAATTTGATTTAAAAGAAAAAATCTTCAACTTATATACCATTGTATTTCTGGTCTTTTCTTTCTTCTTTTCTTTCTTTCTTTCTTTTTCTTTTCTTTTTTCTTTTTATTTCTTTTTTCTTTCTTTCTTTCTTTCTTTCTTTCTTTCTTTCTTTCTTTCTTTCTTTCTTTCTTTCTTTCTTTCTTTCTTTCTTTCTTTCTTTAGGTCTGTAAACCTTCTCTCAGGTTTGTAAACCTTCTCTTAGGTATGTAAACCTTCTCTCAGGTCTGTAAACCTTCTCTCAGGTCTGTAAACCTTTCTCAGGTCTGTAAACCTTCTCCCAGGTCTGTAAACCTTCTCTCAGGTCTGTAAACCTTCTCTCAGGTCTGTAAATCTTCTCTCAGGTCTGTAAACCTTCTTTCAGGTTTGGAAACCTTCTCCCAGGGCTGTAAACCTTCTCCCAAGGCTGAATACATTCTCTCAGGGCGTAAATCTGCTCTGAGGTCGGTAAACCTGCTCAGTGGTCTGTAAACCTAAATTTAGGTCTGTGAACCTGCTCTGAGGTCTTAAACCTGTGTTTAGCTGACGATGTTTCGGACTAGTAAAACGGATTAAACATTCTAAAATTATTGTAACTTTTATTAAAATTGCATAACCCAGATTTGATAGATAATAAATTCTTATTAATAGTTGCAATATCTAGACTCTGAACTTACAAACTTTGATAATAAAATTATTTATAATTGGTTTGAATAATGAATTGATATCTATTATTATAGATGCTACATCTTCATTAATTACAAATTTTTAAAAATGCAACCTCTTCCTCAAATATATTTTTTATTGTAATTGCAACCTCTTCCTAAAATACATTTTTATTACACTTGCAACCGCTTCATCAAATACATTTTAATTATAGTTGCAACCTCTTCCTCAAATACATTTTTAATGTTGTTTCAGCAAATAAATTTTTTACTACAGTTGCAACATTTCATCAATTGAATATTTATTTTAGTTGCAACATCATCCTCACCTGGTTCGTCGTCTTCTTTTATCAACTTCCAGAACAGTGGAGGACCCACCACACCACAGGTTAGAGGTTTAAAGATCTTTTTAAAAATTAGAGAAATGTTGTTTTCAAATAAATCATGTTTACCCACCCCTTTTTCAGAAACATAATTTTTCCTTCTAAGTACTACTACTTAAATTATTGAATTATTGAATCATAATAAACCTTTAAAATGCGTTGATTGATTGATAATATTCTAGAGTCAGATATGCTAAGCATATGTGCTCAAAATGATTTATTAATTGATTTATTGATTTATTGTAAACATACTAGGGTTGATGCCCCCTGGGCAATTGATTGATTGATTGATTGTAAATATTTAGGGTTTTATTGTAAATATTCTAGAGTGGTTACTCCCCCCCCCCCCCCCCCCCCCCCCGTGCACTTCCTGTTTAATGCTAAGCATATGTGCTCTATATGATTGATTGATTGTAAATATTCTAGGCCCCCGGGCACCCCCTGTCAAATGCATGCTAAGCATATGTGCTTTATATGATTGATTAATTGATTGTATATATTCTAGGGTAGATACCCCCCTGGGCACCCCTTGTCTAATGCTGAGCATATGTCTTCTATATGATTGATTAATTGATTGTAAATATTCTAGGGTGGATACCCCCCTGGACACCCCTTGTCTAATGCTAAGCATATGTGCTCTATATGTGGGGACAGGGCTAGTGGGAAGCACTACGGAGTTTTCTCCTGTGAGGGATGTAAGGTAAGGTTTTATTAACTATTAGCTATTAGTTTAAATCCTTATTAATTTTCTACTACTCGGAAGTCATGAACAAATTAGATAGACATCAAAAAAGAAAGGATATTATAATAAAGCCATATAATGGAAGCAGTCGAAAAATTACTTTTTAAAAATTATATACTAAATTCCTTGTATTAAGGGGTTCTTTAAGCGTACTGTTCGTAAAGAATTAAGTTACGCATGTCGCGAAGAGAAGAATTGTACTGTAGATAAGCGTCAGAGGAACAGATGCCAGTATTGCAGGTAAATTATAGTCTACTGTAGTGTAATATAGTCTTCCTTAGTGTAACACAGTCTACTGTTGTGTAATATAGTCTGCTTTAGTGTAACATAGTGTACCGTTCGTAAAACATAGTCAACCTTAGTGTAACATAGTCTTCCTTAGTATAACATAGTCTTCCTTAGTGTAACATAGTCTACAGTAGTGTAACATAGTCTATCGTAATGTAAAATAGTCTACTTTAGTGTAAATAGTCTACCGTAGTGTAATATAGTCTACCGTAGTGTGACATAGTCTACCGTAGTGTAAATAGTCTACCGTAGTGTAAATAGTCTACCGTAGTGTAAATAGTCTACCGTAGTGTAAATAGTCTGCTTTAGTGTAATATAGTCTACCGTAGTGTAATATAGTCTACTGTAGTGTAATATAGTCACCGTAGTGTAATATAGTCTACTGTAGCGTAATATAGTCTACTGTAGTGAACATAGTCATCCGTAGTGAAATATAGTCTTTCGTAGTATAATATAGTCTACTGTAATGTTATATTATCTACTGTAGTTTAACATAGTCTAACCTTGTGTAGCATAGTCTACCCTAGTGTAATACAGTCTACCTTAATGTTATATATTCTACCATTTTGTAGAATATTTTACCGTTGTGTAACATAGTCTACCGTAGTGTAATATAGTCTTTTGTAGTATAATATACTCTTCTGTAGTGTAATATAGTCTGTGTACTGTAGCGTTATACAGTCTACTGTTGCATAATATAGTCTACCGTAGTTGAACATAGTCTAACGTAGTGTAATATAGTGTACTGTAGTGTAATATAGTCTACAGTTGTGTAATATAGTCTACTGTAGTGTAATATAGTCTATCGTAGTGAAACATAGTCTACCCTAGTGTAATATAGTGTACTGTAATGTAATATAGTGTACTTTAGTGTAATATAGTCTACCGTAGTATAACATAGTCTAACGTAGTGTAATATAGAGTACTGTAGTGTAATATAGTCTACTGTAGTGTAATATAGTCTACCGTAGTATAACATAGTCTAACGTAGTGTAATATAGAGTACTGTAGTGTAATATAGTCTACTGTAGTGTAATATAGTCTAACGTAGTGTAACATAATCTAACGTTGTGTAACTTAGTGTACTGTAATGTAATTTAGTGTACTGTAGTGTATTAAGCTGTTCTGTGTAGGTACATGAAATGTCTGAGTATGGGGATGAAAAGGGAGGCAGTGCAAGAAGAAAGATCTCTTGGAAAAGGGTAAGTTAATTTTTTAAATATTTCTCTTTGTATTTTTAATGTTTTGAGTTTAAGACGGGTTTAAAACTGATACTTCTAGTTTTTAAATTTAAACCTGTTTTGCTGGTTTTTCGTGGAATCATTGGAGCAAAATAAGATTATTAATGATAACATCTGTCATTTATAACAATAAATAAAACACTTTATTGATTGATTCATGTTTTGATCGATTGATGAGTAAGCTGGTTGATTGATGACAAGATTCAATAATAAATTATATGATTGATCAGTTGATAGATTGATTAATAGCGTAATTTTAAAGATAAAGATTTTGATTTTTTGAAAGTTTAATAGCTCAAGAGTTTTTTTGATTAATTGATTACTTGCTTCATGCTTAATAGTTTTGTTGATTGATTGATTAATTGCTCGAAAGTTTGATTGACTCATTCATTTATTGCTTTACGCTTATTTGTTTGATTGATTAATTGATTAATTGCTCGATAGTTTGATTTTCAATTAATTAATTGCTCATTAGTTGGATTGATTAAATGATTAATTTCTTGATAGTTGGATTGATTAAATGATTAATTGCTCGATAGCTAGATTGATTAAATGATTAATTGCTTTATAGTTTGATTGATTAAATGATTAATTGCTTGATAGTTAGATTGATTAAATGTTAAATTGCTTGATTAATTGATTAGAGGAAAAGATGATAGCGGTGATACAATGGACGGTGTTAGCTACGGCAACGAGATACCGGTAATTTTTTATATTTAATTAAGAAATTATAAAGATAAAATTTTCAATTTTAGAATTCTTTACATTTACTTCTTTGTCCTTGATTATGAATCCGCAAATCACTTGTAGAGAGAAACCACTAGTGAAAAATGACCGTTTTTACTCCGACAAAGTTTTAAAAACTTTTTTATCTCTGGATGATTAGTTTTATACCATTTCTCCGCTTCCTGCTCTCCAACCGCCACCGCCGCTACACTTCGCCATTTATGTGCTCCATTCATGCACATAGAAAAATGTTTAAATCTTATCGTTATTATGCTGAACCAGGGGTGCTCATGTGTAAACAGCCTGAGCTATCTTGTAGCTCCCCGGCCACAATATATTGTTGTTATTTTTAATTAGCATTTTTACGTATGTACACTGTAAAATTTGTGGCCTAATAAATGATTTGATTTGATTTGATTTGATTTGATTTGATTAAGTGTTAGATAATCCAATTGGGATAATAAATTTGATATTTTCGGAGTTTTGCCATAAGTTTTTGTTTTTTTACTCTAGATAGAGAATATACTGGAAGCAGAGAATCGTTGTGACAAACATCAGGCAGAAATACTCGCTTCGCTCTCGCTACAGGGTGAGATTAATAAATTATTTCGCAATTTTTAAAAAATCCTTCACTCCAGTAAAGTAGAGTTAAAGGGAGTGTTAGCGAAAAATAATAGGGGTGTAGGCTAATCCGAATTGAATTTGGAATCTATTGATAGCAATCTCAATCCAGGCAAATCCTGCCATTGCATTGCTCAAAATTCTAACAGTAGACATCTAGCGACCGTAGTATATGCATCTTTAAAAAAATAATTATTTAATTTTGAACAGGAATGTTTTTAGAAAAGGGTAAAGAATTAGGTTGAAATTAATAGAATGAATAATTTTTTAACTACAATTTACAAAATCGGCGATCTTAGATCTTTCTCATTTCTAAAGAATCAGATGAAAAAATTAAAATCCCATTCGATTCCAAATTTATAATATAGTCCCCTTTTTTTTCGCAAAACTCCGTTTTTATAAACACGAGAATAGCAAACGTCCAATTTTTCCTTTTACTTCATTGTTATGTTTATTGTTTATTTAATGTTATTTATGTAGTTTTATATTTAGATATAGATACAAGTATGGAAGGAAAGTATAAGCTGGCGGCTAATATACAACTACAATCCCTGGTTGAGTGGGCCCGACATATTCCACATTTTAACGGGCTTTCCATTGACGATCAGGTACTTTTTTTGTAAAGGGACTGTAAGCGTAATTTCTAAGGACCCTCAATGCAAAAATGAAAATGTACGATTCACAACTATTGTATTATAAAGTGTGAATTAGAAATTAATGGTTTCACAGAATGGATGGAATGAATTAATGAATATTTAAGGTTGCCCTACTACGGAATGGATGGAATGAATTAATGATTATTGGATTTGCTCACAGAAGTGTCGGAAATAGTGAAGGTAAAAATTGTCGAGTCTTTCAAAATTAAAGAATTTTTTTTCTTAAAAAAAACACAATTATCCCAAAATTTATGATTGTGCCTTTAAAAGCGTTCATAATTATTTTTTTGTCCATTTGTAGAAAAATCTTTGCACTAATATTTTTTATTTTTTTATCTCTTTTTGAGGGGGGGATTCAAAGTGAGTTTTTTAAACCCGAAATTGAGTAAATATTTTGCTAAAATTTAACCTTCAAATCAACAAGCAGTAATACAAATGTGTCTTTTTGTTAGCGGAAAATTTGTAAAAATTGATTAAATTTTTTTTTTTAGGAATTATGTTGGCTGACGGTATATTTGCTACCCGAGAAACTGCCCACGAAGCTGGTGTCGGTATGGTCTACGATAGGTAACTTCACATTAGATGGTTTTTTTGCCACTTTTTTGATAAGCATGCTCAATTCCACTTTGCACCAGTTTTAAAGTTTTCTTACAGTGAAAACAAAATTTGAGATCTTTTTCTCAAAATTTTCAAGCAAATTAAGATTTTATTGTGTGCATAAAAAAAATAATTTAAGCTAGAAAAAAAAACCTTCAAAATAATTCAAGGTGGGTATCAAAATGTCCGTCTTATAACACTGAGTTGAGAAACGTTAAAATCGTAACAATACCTTGACAATAAATTAAGTTATGAGCAAAAAATAGGAGTTTAGCCTTAAATCAAAAACTTATGCATTTCGTGATTTGATTTGATTTGATTTAATATTATTTGATTTAATTTTTTGATCTAATTTTTTTATTTGATTTGATTTGATTTGATTTGATTTGGTTTGATTTAATGATTGATTTGACAATTGATTTGATAATTGATTTGATAATTTATTTGATAATTGATTTGATAATTGATTTAATAATTTATTTGATAATTGATTTGATAATTGATTTGATAATCGATTTAATAATTGAATTGATAATTGATTTGATAATCGATTTAATAATTGAATTGATAATTGATTTGATAATTCATTTGATACTTGATTTGATAATTGATTTGATAATTTATTTGATAAATGATTTTATAATTGATTTGATAAATGATTTTATAGTTGATTTGATAATTGATTTGATAATTGATTTGTTATATAGAGTGCTGGTAGAGTTGGTTGGAAAGATGACGGAGATGAAAATGGATCGATCAGAGCTAGGCTGTCTCAGGTATGATTTAATGTATACCTTACACTGCGCGTACAACGAAGTACAGTGTACACTCTGTACTGTCCACTTCACTATGAACAGTGTACACGCTGAACTCTGCACACTTTTAACTCTGCACTCTCTGAACTCTGCACTGTACACTGTACACTGTACGTACGGTACACATTATGTATTACGTAACGTACGGTTTACAGTTTACGTAAATCAGTTAGCGTCGTAGAATTAAATATTTTAGTATATTTTAGTATATTTTAGTATATTGGGGGGAAATCTTAATTAGAAAGAACCTATTATGGCCTATGTTACCTAGTTTTGGAGTAAATTAAGAAAACACATTTTTGTTGATACAATTTGAATTTCAAATCACTCACTAACAAATAATTAGTTTGAATGTAGAAGGTTAGAAAATCATTTCTTTTAACAAACGAAGTACGAAAAAAGATCAAAGAGCAGGGGCATAAAGCATAAAAAATACATATAAAACAACACCGAATGAAAAAATACATATAAAACAACACCGAATGAAAAAATACATATAAAACAACACCGAATGAAAAAATACATATAAAACAACACCGAATGAATAAAATGTACCCTTATTAATTTTATGTATTTTTAAATCTTATGTTTCAGAGCAATTTTACTATTTATTTAACCCTATTGTTTTAGAACAATTGTGCTGTTCAACCCTATTTTTCAAGGACAATTGTACTGTTAACCCTATTCTCCTAAGACAATTTTATTGTTTAACCCTATTCTTTTAGGACAATTGTACTGTTAACCCTATTCTTCTAGGACAATTGTATGGTTTAACCCTATTATTCCAGGACAATTGTACTGTTTAACCCTGATGCGAAAGGTCTGACTGAAATAGGGAAGGTGGAACAGATTAGAGAGAGAGCATACGCTACACTAGAGGAATACACAAGGTGAGTACAATCAGGGGGGAGGGGGTTAAAAAGCTATTTTTTAAAGAAAAGGATCATTGTTTTCTTTTACCTTTTTTTAATCTTTTTAAAACAAAGAGAAATCTCCATAAAATCTCGTGTCATTTTTAGACGACAAATATAATTTCAGTAATATCTTTGCGGAGATTAATTAGTAACATGGAAATAAAGACAAGTGTCTGTTATAAA